AAGTCTTAATTTTTCAGTTTTCATTCATTCTTCAGATGTGTCCAAACAGTTGAAGTTTTCATTGTATAATATTTTTGTAAGAGATTCTTTTTTATATATATCCTATTATAAAGTTCTTCATTTGTGAATTTCTGCATCCATCCTATTTGTAAGGTATTTCTGTAACAGTGTCTTTCAAATGCTAATATTTTTCTTTCCATATCTTTTGTTATTACCCATGTCTCACAGGCATACAGCACGCAGGAGAAGATGTAGGTGTTCAATACTTTTAATTTTGTCTGCAAACTAATTGCTTTTCTTTTCCAGATTTTGTCCATTGCTTTCAAATTTGTTTTTGCCTTGGCTATTCTAATTGCTATTTCTTTTTTGCAATCCAGATTACAGGCAAGTTTGCTTCCTAAATATGTAAAGTGCTCTACATTTTCAATTTCTTTCCTATCTACTAGGAAGTTTCTTGTCATGTTGTTATCACCAAATATCATTGTCTTACTTGTTAGTTTTTTTGCTATTGATAGTCAGTTCATATCTTTTTCCTTCTTCATTAAGCAGATGTAATGTTTTATCTAGTTGTTCTTCACTTTCTTCAATGATAACTATATCATCTACAAATCTCAGGTTACTGAATTTTACACCATGAACTGATGTTCCCTGCATCTCTTGCATCATCTTATCCATGACTCTTTCTAAGAGACTTATGAAGATAGCTTGGGATATGTGATCTCCCTGTCTGATGCCTCTTTTTGGTTTGAACCAATTTCTTAGCTCCCCACACAATCTCACAGCTGCTTCTGCATTATCATTAATATAACTTAGCAGGTTTATTAGTTTATGATTCATTCCATAAGATTTTAGCACTGCCAAGGTGGCTTTTTGGTCTATGCTGTCTTCTGAAAGTCCACAAAGCAGGAATAGATGTTTTTCTGCTTTCTTCTTGCCTTTTCAACTAATAGCCATAATGCTAGTATCTTTGTGGTGATTTCTAGTAACCGTGAACAAATCAAAAGGCGAGATAAGATTAACAAGAACATTTATTAACTTGCACACATCCGATTTGGATCTTACACAAAAGACATCTGTTATCATGAACAATTGACGAAATAAAAGTATACAGTTATCAGATAATAGACAAGGACTCAGTTTGTAAACAATTTACCTTTTGTTATACAACTGACAATGTTATCTTTCAAATTATAAACACACTTGATCCCGAGCGGTCTTTTGATGGTCAGACATACAAAAAATGAAAAGATGACGCTTAACTTAAGCGTGGTTTACAAAACAAATATGATTAATCTTAACAATCTGCTGCGTTGTACTTCTGTCTTTCCTGAAACCTGCCTGTTCATCTGCTAAGTGTTCTTCCATCAAACTACTTACTCTCTCCTTTAAGATCATCATCTGAATTTTTCCTATGTGGCTTGTTAGGGCAATCATTCTATAATTTTTGCACTCTAACCTATTGCCTTTCTTATGTATTGTCACCAATACTGATTTTGCCTATTCTTTAGGTATCTTGACTTGTTTCCCATATCTCATTGCACATTTGGTGTATCTCATCAATTAAGCTTTCTCCTCCATGCTTAATCATTCCTCCTGTGATTTTGTCATGTCTGGGACTCTTATTGTCTTTTAACTGTTTCACTGCCCTTTCAACTTCCTCCCTCATAATATCATTTTCATTTTCAACACTTGGTGGTGATATCTTCCTTCATTCATCTACTAGATTTTCTAATACCTCTGTATCTAACATTTCCTTGTATATTTCAGAGCAATAACTTGTCCACCTCTGTAGGACTTCTACCCTGTCCACTAAAAACCTCTTCCTTCTCATCTTTGATTGCCATTTGCTTTGGTTTCCATTTCTGATCATCTTATATACTTCTCTAGTCTTACATTCTCCATAATATTTTTCTATGTTTCTACACTGATTCTTTAGCCATTTCACTTTATCCATCCTAACTGCTTTTTTCACTTCATTGCACTTTACCTTACTGTTTTTCCAATTCTTCAGAAATGTCTCTTCTAAGCCTAAGAACTCTTTTCTCTTGGACAAGCTTTAGGGTTTCTTGTGTGATCCATTTGTTGATATTTTTCTCTTCTGGTAGGGTCTGCTCAATTGCTTTTCTTATTGCCTTTGTTATTTCTTCCACTCTTGTGTCTAGCTCTTCCATCTTGCCTAGGGTTTTTATCTTCTTCTTAGGTGTATTTCTATATATGCTCCCTATTTTCTCATTTTTTAGCTTTGAAATGTCTCTTCTTTTGGAAATGTGCATTAAATTTCCTCTTCAGTTTTTTCTTTATGTTTGCAATGACTAAGCTGTGATCAGAATTTATGTCAGCTCCCTGAAAGGTTCAATGCTGTTGAACTGATGTTGACCATTGAATCAAACTTATATCAATCATGTTTCTTGTTATTCCATCACTTGATCTCCATATCCATTTTCTACAGTTCTTTTGCTGGAATTTGGTGTTGCATATCATTAAATCTTGATCTAGGGCAGTGTTTCTCAACGGGGGCGATATCACCCCCATGTGGGCGTTTTTCCATGTTGAGGGGGCTATTAGTAACAATTTATATTTTGGGGACGAAAACAATTTTCTGGGCGATATAGTAAAACATTATATTAAGAATAATTAGATATTTTATTCGTTATATTGTACAATAATCAAACAAATAACATTATACTAGTGACTAGTCTATTCAATGCAGTATGAATTTGGCGTTAGCCTTGGCCCTCAGCATCGGAATTTTGGAGTGAAGGGGGCGATACTACGTAACGGTTTTATTGAAGGGGGCGACGATTCATTAGAGGTTGAGAAACGCTGATCTAGGGCAAATTCAAGCAGTCTTTCCCCTCGTTCATTCCTTCCTCCATATCCATACTTACCCATTACTCTTTCCAAACCTTCATTATTATTTCCAATCTTAGCATTCCAGTCACTTCCAATGATGATCACATCTCTCAGCGGTGTTTTCTCTATTATCATGCTTAGATCTTTATAGAAAAGTTCACAATCTCCTCTTCACTGCTATCTGAGGTAGGTGCATATACCTGTATTACTGATATATTAAATGGCTTTGCTTCAAACCTTGTCATCATCAATCTTGCACTATCCTATCAATCAATATCCTAACAATGCTACTTATGCTCTTTTACTAAGCAGAAATCCAACACCAGCTTCATGTCTTGTGTCATTTCTCAACTAGATGACTTCACCACCATTCAATTCTCCCGATGTCGTCCAATGTATTTCTGCTAAGCCTAATATGTTGCATTGATATCTCTCCATTTCCTTCCGAAAAAGCTCTAGTTTTCCAGGTGACTACAACATTCTGACAGTCCAAGTTCCTACTGAAAGGACTCTCATTGCTGGGTGAAGCTTTCTTTTCTTTTTTTTTTGATAGCCAATTTTTCGACCCAACTGCTTGGTTGGTGTCACAGACCTTGTTTTCCAGGCGACACCTGAGCCAGCATTTTTTATCTTTTGCTTGTATTGACATCAGATTTCATTAGTATTGTTGTTTTATAGTTAGTGCATCGACACACATCAATCCTTTTTCCAGGCTTGGGACTGGCATATTTTCTCTAGAGATTGCATAGCAGAGTTATATATTATATTAAACACACACACACACACCTATATATATATATATAGATAGATAGATAGATAAGTATTGCCAAACTAAATGAAGAAAATTACCCATATTGCATTCAAAAATTACCTGAAAGTATCCATGTTTACTTGTTCTCTTCTGTAGGAAATCATTTATGAATAATGTGCTTTGTGTATTCCTTAGATTGTTTCTCTTATGGCTTCTATGTCTCCCAGTTTCAGCTGTGCCATTTCACATCTTACCTTCATGGATGTAGTGCAGACCCATCATCATTGATAAATCTAATAAAAGCACTAAAGTAAAAATGATTTCTTTATGGATTATAAAGGTTACAATGTATGTGAATCCATAAAGGAATAATTTTTAATTAGATACATTTTGGACTTATGTGCATTGTAATCTTTATAATTATAATATTCCAGTTCATTTAATAATGTTGTGTATGTTTATATGCAACGTATTACACTGGTTATTACACCATCATGTTATTGAAAGTGCAAATGATTGAAGATTGCAAAACATGGATTTAACTTCAGTGCAATAACAAACTATTAAGATATTAAAACTTAAAATTAAAATTTCTGAAATTACCCACCATAATTGAAAATATCCAAAAATTGGGAAATTACTTGCACATTGGCAACCTTGATATACAGTATATGTTGATCAAAAAATAGGTTGTTTTGTAAATTACCGTATTTACTCGTGTATATGACAAGGTGTTACTTTAAAAATCAAAATAAAGAAAATTAGATTTATTAATACAGTTTTAATTTTATTTCATTTGATTTCAAATAAAATATTATCAAATGCACACATTGTCCTGCAAACATTACTAGCATTTTAAACTTTAAGAATAATTTTGTAAAAATCGACAACATAACCTTTTTTGCCAATTCTTAACAGTGGAATCCACTCTCCATTGATTACACTTACAAGTTTCTCTGAATTCTGTTTTCTGATAATCATCTGTTTTCATGTGGGAATGGATTAAAAATTATATTGGGCTTCTGTGTGATTTTGGAATTCAATTCAAAACCTTTGCTTTCCTGAATGTTATTTGTCTTTACTCCTGACAATACACAAGAACAATTCAAATGACCTAAATAAAGTACTTTTGTTTTTAAACACTAGAGGGTGAGTATCTGGTAAAAAATTTGAATACACAGTTATTATTATTGCAAAAACGCAAAGAATCCTTCACTTGCACATCTAGGACGACCTAGGTTTTTGAAGCATTGAAAAATGAATAAAAATCTTGTCTTATATGCAAGTAAATACAGTACATTGATTTATATAATGATATTAATAAAAAGATATAAATTATATAAATGAACAAACATGATTACATTATTATTATTATTATTATTTTTTTTTTTTTCAGAAAATCATACTGAAGGAAAAGTAATTGCTTTAGATATTATTCATGTTGCACCAATAGATGGAGTAACAATTTTACAAGAAGCTGATTTTAAAAATCCTTCTACACAGAAAAAAGTAATAGATATACTTGATGGATCTAATGCTGATATTGTTTTAAGTGATATGGCACCTAGAGCATCAGGCATAAAAGAATTAGATGTAACTAATATTATATCACTTGCTTATACTGTATTACAGTTTTCTATACGAATATTATCTATAGGTGGTACTATACTTTGCAAAGTATGGGATGGAGATAGTGTAAATGATCTTGAAATGAACATGAAGAAATTTTTCAGTTCAGTGAAGCGGATTAAACCTCCTGCTAGTCGTATGGATTCTGCAGAATTGTTTTTATTAGGAAAAGATTTTAAAGGAATTAAAAAGTAATTTGCACTTGTAAAGCAAATTTTATATAAATAATTTACAATATTTAGGTATAAATTTTTTTGGATTATAGTACTTTTTATTTACTCTTTCTTACCTATGGGTACTAAGATGGCCTTTTTTTTCAGGCTCATTGTAGGTTTGGCCAGGCCAAGTCCACAATGGGAAAGCCAGATGGTGAGGGATGGGGCCTGACATATCCAGGACAGACCCAAAAAATTTCTGGAATTTTTAAACTGCCTGGATTTGAGTAATAGATGATGCCTTAGCCATCTCAGCCATCTGCCAATTGAACATAAAACAGACAATAATGATTATAGGTTGTCAGTTATTAACCTGTTGAGAATAGTGCATAACTTTCTGGGGAGTTTGAACCCAGATCACCTTTCTAATGGATTGTTCATGAGACATATTAGAGTTTATGGAAAAAATATGGCAGATATAGCCATGTCATCTACTGTACGTATATAATCTCATTGATTTCAAATCAGAGAGTTAATGAATATTGTATATAATGTAAATACTGTACTTCTGGTACATAATTCTGTGATGATGGTAATTTAAATATGTACAGTCAACTACTAATTTAGAAAGATAGTGGAGGGTTCATAGACTGTGGTATTTTGAATTTCATGGTAAGTTTGCAAATTACTTGAAAATAACTATGAGCACAATAATAGACACTGCTATATTTCAACAAGCTAAATAAAGTAAAATGCACAGTATAACATGAAAAATATAACTCATTACCAATCACAAAGACTACTCATTTAAAAACTATATATTTATATTTTTTTTATTTAACCAAACGACCCTATGACCATTGGCCTTTTTCAAGGATAAAAAAAAAAAACTAAAGATACAGACATTTACATAATATACAATCAACAAAACAATAAAAAGAACAGAGAAAAGAAAAAAAATAATAATAAAATAAAAATACACACAACTAATCACAGCTCAATTTTTTTACAGCCCATTTAAATTACCTGTAAGTACTCAAATCTTTGTATTCTTCTTTTAAAGCATTCCAGTTATATATAAGTTGATAGATTGTCTCATCCTTAACTTTTGGTAGAATCAAATTATTTTTCCATTGATAGTTGTAGTTAGAAGGCCTAAGGCAGGCATGGCCAACATATCGCCTGTCTAATGAATTTATGCGGCCCACAATTAATCCTTCAATATTAGCTACTTAAGTCCGAATATGTTGATGAAAAATTCTGATACCGAAAGAAAGAAAGAAAAAAAAAAAAAAAAAAGAAAGTTGTTTATGCTCTACTCGATAAACCGTGTAACAAAGTTACGTCTTGGCATGTTTGTATTGGTAGGGGTTACCTTTTTCCGTGCCCTTTCACGAGAATTAGCTGGGATTTCTAGCGAGAAATAAGCAAGAAGGGAGCTCATAAGGGTCACCTTCGTCAATGAAAGCGGTCCGAGCTCTTCAATGAATAGCCTTTTGTAAACGGAAAGAAGCAATTGGTTATCCGGGATTTTTACTATAGAAAAATGGGAGGAAGTTTGTAAAACGTATATGTATTTTTAGAGGGGGTGAAGTCTGATCGAAGATACACTCTCCACTCAAGTAGAACAATAGAAAATAGGGAATAAATCGGGAATGGACGTTTTTTTTTCTTTTTTTTAGTGTTTTCTTTGTTTTTTTTTAAATTCATAAGCCGAACCTGTACGATTTTTGCTTTATTCAGACGTAGTGAATGGGGGTAAGAATGATGAGAGAGGCTAGCCACATTCTCCTGCCTGCTAAAGCAAGCAAGTGTCGGTATCGATTGATGCAGTCGCTGTTTGTTTTCATTCAAAGCCCCTCTAGTAACTGACTTTACCATTTGGTGCCATAGCCAAGGAATTCTTTTATAAATTTAAAGCAATTACTCTCATTAGAAAAGGGGAAGTAGAGAATTTCAGAAAGGGCCCAATTGCCATTATAAAAGGATGTATAAAAAAGGGGTGTGTGTTTGTGTGTGTATGTGGAAGAGTTTTGTGTTTGCCATTTTTTTTTTCTTTTCTTAACACTTCAACATGTCGTAAAAGATAATACAAACGAGGTGCTGATGTTGATGTTTGGTGGCCGACTCGCAGGTGAGGTTAGTACAAAAAAAAGGTCAACCTCGAGTCGAAAATTTCCTACTCAACGATGCTTGTCCCTCGTTGTAAAGGAAAGCGTTATCTTTATTGGTGTCGTGGAAAAAAAAAATCCCCAAGAAAGCTGACTACTAGGCAAAACGATGTGCAGTTAAAGTAAATTTTTATGGTGCTAAGTTAGAGTAGAAAATATTTTCTACAACATTAAAACTCAACTTGCCTTGTTATGATAATAACTACTCTAGATTTTTCTTTAAGACACTAAAAAGATAATTTCTTTATAATCAAGAAGGAATATACCGAGCTGTTGAACTCTTTAAGCAACCCCAGAGTGGCCTTTATTGTAAGAGATCTTAGAAATAGAAACAATGTTAAGTGCCGGATGAAAACTTTTCGGTGTCTCCTTACCTATTCTTATCACCTAAAGAGTTCTATATGGGGTTAAATATAGTCTACGATATTTAGAGCCTTCTCGAAAACTAAACAAAGAAGGTCAAAATGTTCGACTGTAAACACTTGTTTCTCTTTCTTCGAGTGGTGTTTGAGGCCTTCTTTGAGAATTTAAACAATGAAGAAGGCCTTTTTCTTTGTTTAAAAGTCTCAAAGTCTTCTTTGAGAGAGATACAGAAATATAGACAATAAGCAAACCCTGTAGAATCTTAAAATATTGATGCTTTAAACTAGTGCCTTGTTTAAAACAGTAGAAACAAAGAAGAATCTTTTGTCTGGAGTATTGCGTATTACCTCGAAAAGTCTAAAAATATTTAGGGCCTTTACGAAATCTTTAAACACTCGTTGTATAGACGTAAACAATGCAGCAAGCTTCCACACGCCATGATTTATGCCACTGTAAATATTCCCGAGTGTTTGGAGTTAATATTTTTATCACTTTCTAAACAATTTTCTTCCATAATCCGTGGGGTGTTTGGCCAAGTTTACGCACACGAGTAGTAATAATTCGAGGGTCTGGAGAGGGGGGTATATTAGTAAAGTTTCGGTTGATTGTATCAGGGGAGGTACCTTTCATTGATGCATTGTCGATGAGATGGTTAGATTTGCTTATGGAGGCGGCTTAATTACAACCATCTACCCTCTGGGTATAATGATGTACAGAATCACTGGTTTGAAACATTACCTGCTATTAAAGAACATTTGCTTATATTTGTACGTAAATTTACATATCTGGAGTAAGAATTCGTTAAATGATGCAGAACCGGGAGCAAAGATAAAAGCTGTCTTTTGCATATCTGCAAATGTAAAGAATGGAGTGTTAATGTCATTAGGCATGGAATGGAGAGAACGCATTAAGTACAACAATGGATAAAGATAGAAGAAGAAGTATAAAAAAAAACTTCTCCTTGTCAATAAAATGCTTCTGATTACATTGTCATAAGTGATGTTAGTGTAAGTAACGTTTTTTAATCACCTATTTAGAAAACGTCGATAAAAATGTAGTCAATTTTCTATTGTGTCCTACACCCTTCTGTGGTTAAGGTACACTGTACCTACCCTCCCCCCACCTCGACGTATCGATGTAATAGTATATAATTTCAATAAAATAACAATTAAAGGTTAATCTTCATATATCTTTGACCATTTTGGAAGCGAAAAAAAAGGATGATAAATCGTCAAACGATCATCATTCGCTCGCTTTACTTCGTCTGACATCAGGTATGGTCGCAGACAATGACGATGGTTGTTGAGTTGCCTGCAGTCAAGAAAGGCTGACCTTTCTCCATTTCATCAAGGTCGCTTGTTTGCTTCTCCTTTGTCTGTCCATCTTTAACTTCTATGGTATTAACAGTATATTTACAGCACATTCTACTCGATTATTATGCAAAAATAAATCAAACTACTATCGACTAAACTTATTAAAAGTCGTACCGGGTCTTATTCTGCTTTGTAATTTGTCGTCATCAAGTAGTAGCAGAACACCTCAACGACATATTTGTTTAACTTATCTACCCTATCATTTGTAACTTACCGATACAACTCCATTCGAAGCTGCACTACTACAGACAGAAAAACTAATCACTTTAGCCATATAATATCATATTACGTATCCAAATCTGGGGGGTGACGATGATACTTGCCAGATTAGCTGACTCATACAAAGATTACGATGCTACTATAGTAACAAATGACCAAAGATTTTGACAGATATTTTTGAATTATGGTAGAAATTGATTTATCAAATCGATTGATGCGTTTTTGAACTGTTGCCTCTTCTCCCCATTATCCTCCGCAGATTCCTCCTCCATTTTCTTCTCTCTCTCTCTCTCTCTCTCACTTCTCTACCCCCCTTTCTCCATGATTTTTCAAGCTATTAAATAAAAGGTATATCAATTATTTTCTTCCCAGTAAATTGTATAAATTTTAATTATCATAAATTAATTCATTCGAGATTTATTCCAGAGTCTCTCAGCAATTAAGCTTTCAAAGATTGTGAAATGTGCCACCCTCCGGGGGATCCCTCTTGCTTACTTTCGTTTCCTACACTCAAAATAATGTTGGATAATAGAAAACAATAGACAAAAGATAGAGATAATGGAAGAAAAACCTTACCAAAAAGAAAGAAAAAAAAAATCTCTACAGTTTACGTTCTAGTGTGGATTTTTACTTGAAAATTCGCTAAACACAATGGACAGTCAAGTCGCTTCTACCCTCGGAAGTGTGGCGTAATTGAAAGTGAATTTGTAAAAGCAAGCCCGGTGCTCTGTTTTTAATAAAATACTTTTAAAGATTTCATTACGTCAACCCCTTTCATCATCACGTGACGAGTTTGTCCCTCTCACTCCCTACAGAGTTTGGAATTTAACTTGTAAACCGCTTCCCACACTTTATTATAGTAGTTGAATGTTACTTTATTTGGATTTAATTTTCTTTAATGTGAATATATCATTGTTTAGATTATTCTTTTCTACATTTTTTTTCTTTCTTTTATTTGTATTTTTATAAAAATTTCTCCACACCGAAGCTAATTAAGATGCTGTAAATTTGCAATAGGTTGGTGATGCGGGAGAGGTTTTTTCATGTTGAATAATACTTTCGTATGAATAATAATACGTTTTGATGCTAAATTTAGTGTATTTTTAGTTTAATTTTCTATCTTTTTACCTCTAAAATAGTCGAAATATTTAAAAAATAAGTAGGCCTACGTTAAACAATAATTTATTTTAATTTTAGGAGGCTCTAAAAATAATTTTTTTTTTATCTTAATAAGGCGATGAAACCTCACTTGAACAAGCCTTGGTTTCCTCAGAGCTTCATTCAACCTCAAAAATATTAGCTTGTTGTTAAAAACCTCAGTAAATTAAGGCTTTTTGAGTAAAGTTTACCTTACTAAAAATCATAGAACAAATCTTTTACAGTGAAGTTTTCTCACCTCATTGAACGAGCCTCATTTCAACTGTATTTAGAATAAGGTTTGCAAAGAATTCCTATTATTTAAATGAATTACGAAGGAATTTCCCTGTTGAGGAANGCTATGTCTTGGGCTACTCAAATATTTTACGTTTTTGATACTAAATTAACATCTGAAGTATAATTTTTTATTATTTTTATATTTTTCAATATATTTATTTTGTTTGTACAAAATAAAAAAATAATTTTTAATGATACAATAGTCTTTGTTAGGCTTAACATTGACGAAAATTCAACGCGAAGCGACACGCAATGGAGAAAAATTTCAACATTGGATACGTTAAACTATTTTTTCATACATAAATCAGTTATCCGGACAACCCCAGTCCCCAATTGATTCGGAAAATCGACGCTCTACTGTATTATAGGAAAGTGTTTATCAATCAAAATCTGCAGGATAACCTGAAAGTAATCTGCCAATTGGTCAACAGAAAGATCTGTGGAATAATAGTAATTCCAAGCAAAACAAGCTGACAGTGCATTACGTAAAAGATGTATTGATGAATTATTTATTTTCCTACGTGTTTTTAGCGATTTACCACCCATTTCCATATCTTTCCTAGGAAGAAAGAAAACTATTGGTGTATGATCCGACAATAAGTCCTGATGAATTAAAAATTCTGACTCACTTATATTGGTTAACCCGAAGTCAATCAAGAGTGAGTGTCTTTATCAGATCTGGTCAGTTGCCTCTGATCAACCAAAAGTGATAAATTTTCTGAAAAACAAAAGTTTAACAAGTTACAAGTACTTACTGAAGAGTCTTTAAGTAAATCTATATTAAAATTGCTGATAATAAGTAATTTATAATTTCTTAATTTAGTAATTTTAAAATGCTTCAAACTACATCGAAAAATAAACTGTAGTTTGAAGCCAGAGATCGATAAATAATTACAATCAGAACTTTATTAATAGAAATTGTCATCACATCTATGTACTCTTTAGTAAATGTCAAATCAGGTATATAAATCAAATCCTTATTTATAAACAAAACTATATCTCTATGATGGTTTGGTTGTCTTTTGATTTTTTCCATATTAAAATTATTCATTTTAAACGGAGGATGAGTTTCATTAGTCCATGTTTCAGAAAAAGCCAGTATACCAAACTTACAATCATAACCAGAAATAATGTGATTTATCTCCTGATATTTGTTATTTAAGCATCTTACATTACTATAAAATATATAGAGTCCATCCCTTTCAAAGTTAGCTATTATGTTTTAATAGAACCTCCATCATGAAATAAACTCTCAATATACTCTAACGTAAACGCTCGTAAAGATGGAGAAGTTGCATTAATCTTTATGTAAATTATACCAGTTTTGGTCCAAGTATTTAGTATTTTCCTCTCCTCCTTTAAAACTAGTTTTATAAAAAAAGATTTCTATCATATGGTGTAAGATGATCATTTATATAAATTTCATATTCTTCATTAATTATATTACATGCACTTGAGGTAATTTTTAGTTTATTCTCTTTAATTTTATCAATAATTTTTTTGCTTCGTAGTAGTAATAGCTAATTTCGCTATAATCAACTTTAACTTGCGTGACAATGAATTTCTTTCACTTGAAAGAGACCTAGGCCTATAGGCATTTATAATAGATAATTTATCAAATGTATTATCCACAAATGTCATAACTTTTTTAAATGAAAATTTAATTGATATTGTTTATAAAGTAGGAAGTCCAACACTTTCTAAACTTGAATTATTAACATCTTGCTCCATAGACCTTAATTTTTCATGTATATTACTTTAAATAAAGATCATGATTATAGTAATTAATTATACAATAATTATGTTACATAACTATGAAAATTATAGAAATACAGTACATTAACATAAAAAATCAACACTTTACTAAATTTAATGACTACACATGCATCATTGAGAACAAAATGACTCTTGCACATGCATTCATGCTGTCACCAACCATGATAAACCTATTCCCACTAAATCAGGAGTTGACGATATTTATAATTCATCATCAATTTAAAAATTTATTTGTATAATTTAAAAATCTTCATAAAAATTATTTAAAAAAAAAAAAAAAAATGTAAATGTTCGTTTGTTCAAAATATTAAATCTCCAAAAGTTCTTCACCGATTGCTTTGAAATTTTGACACACTGTTGCATTCGGATACGCACGTTTTTATATTATATAGATGTCAAAATCCCCCCACGGGAGAGGGACAAAATTAAGGCTTACTGCAAATAACTGGTTTTCTATTATACTATTTTACATGCAGTTTTTTGCATTTTAATACGGTACATCAAGAGAATGTACACTAAGACAGGATTTTTTGAAATTCCCCCATGGAGTGTGTTATACATTTATAATAGATACATTTTGAGCTACAGCAACGTGGCCGGGTACAGCTAGTTTAAAATAAAATTATATATTTTCAGTTTAAATTAATATTACTAATAAACTACTACATAACAACAATTATAATAAAACTTTATTATTTTTTTTATTTACATCTTAAAAAATTGTTTATGAAAAATGTAGTTTCATAAGAAGCAGAGGTAAATAATAAAACTACCAACATTTGTCTCAATTTTTTCAATTAACATTTTTATAAATATCTATCTAAAAATTTAATTACTAATCATTAGGTTTATGAAATTTTTTCTTTGGATTTTTGGAAACAGATNATTTCACATTCATAAAAGTTTTGATCGTTGCTTACAAAAAACTGATCCAAGTGATTTTTGACATTGTCATTTCAAGTAAATGTCTTACAGTTAAAAAAAATTTGTATAGACCGGAACAAGTAATAATCTCAGTGTGCTCCATCTGGCGAATATGGTTGGTGTCATAGCATGTCCCATCTAAGTTATAACAGTTTCTGACCAGTTACCAAACTTGTGTGAAATTTGACATTATTGTGGTAAAACACTACACCTGTTTTGTTGATCAATTCTGGCCACACTTTCTGTTTGATGATAATACTCAATTTGTTTACTCAATAGCAGTACACTTTTCAATCAATTGTCAAATTTGTCTGGTAAAAGCCCCCAAAAAAAAAATTTCCTTAAAATCTCCACCAAAGAGAGCATCTCTCTTTAAGAATATGTGGAACCTATATATCGAGCTTTGAAACGAAACCAATTTGTTTCAAGTAATCATAAACAGTTCAATTTGACAAATTTAATCTCTTAGTGATTTCACGTGTTGTTATTCGGCAGTTTGCTTCAATCAGTACCTTTATTTTGTTTTTATTGGCTTCAACTGGCCATCCAGAACGTGGTTCATCTTCAATATTGAAATTGCCAGAACGAAATTTTGTAAACCAGTTTTGGCACTATCTTTCTCTCAACACATCATCTGCATACATGTACCACAATTTTTTTCTTGCTTGAACAGCATTTTGATTTTTTTGGTAATAAAAAAGCAAAATATGCCAAAAATGATGCTTTCGATCTTCCATATTTGATGGGACACAAAAAATAAACAATTGCACAGAATCAAACAAAATTTTTTACAAATAAGCCTTAAAATGCTAGCTATCAAAATATATAATGATAATACGGTTTAGAATGAAAATGGCGGGAAAAAACTCATTTTTTCTTTCCCGTGATATATTTTATTGTGGAATGCAGTCCAATCATTTATAATTACAATAATAAAATTTAAAATCAGTGTTTCATAGTTACAGAGTATTTGTAAAGATATGCATGTGTGCGTACCATAGAATTATCAGGGTGGTATTGGTGTTAGTTTGGTGCCCTAACTGTACTTTTGAGTTTGTTATGGTTCAGAAAAGTAATTTTTTACAAGTGAAAATAAGATACAGTGGTGTCTCGAATAATGGATTTTCTGTTTGGCCGTTACGTGATTCAAGCAATGGATTTTCCGTTCGGTAGTTACGTGAGGCGACCAATGGACTTTCTACGAACAAGTGCGAATGATGTTTCCACTCTTTTGCCGTTGCCAATGACAATCTGCTATTTTTATAATATATTAGTATTATTAGAATATATTATCAGTACAGAAGTATATCTGAATATTTGTAGTATATTTGTATATTTGATAATNAAAAAAAAAAAAAAAAAAAAAAAAAAAAAAAAAGGTTAACAACTAACTGTGCGTTTAGAGTTAACGCTCCATTAGAAATGTCTTCAGCACAGTGTAGAATGTTGATAATGTATGATAATGTGAAAAATGTATATGTAATCTCTATGTACAATTTGGTCTCTACGGGGTGACACCACAATGAGATCTCGCACCACCACAAAATCTTCCTAGGGCAGCCTCTGGTTCGGCCCATGAAAAAAGTTTTCTTTCCAATTCGGCCCGGGGGCAAAAACTGTTGGCCACCCCTGGCCTAAAGTATTTATTTAACTCATCACTTATATAAGATTCTTTCTTGCCCACCTTTATTAGCTTAAAACTTTCTAGAAGAACTTGTTTTTTATATAAAGCTTTTATTTTATCAATTTTGGTCTGGTTATAAAAAGAAGTGATAGAAGAATCGTAAGGTAACTTATATAATGCTCTTATAAAGTTGTTTTGTATAACTTGCAACCTAATCAATACAAAAGAGGAATCTGTACCCCATATGGAGATGATATATCGAAGTTTGGGTTCCATGCAAGCATGATATAAATGCAAAACAATCTCAAAATTTAAAAAACTCATTATTCTTTTCAGTATTCCAATAAATCTAGATAAAGACAGTGTTAAATTATTTATATGATTATTCCATCGTAATTTATCATCAATTTCAATACCTAAATATTTTACAGTATTAACTCTATGAATACATTCACTATTTATTTTTACTTGTACACAGTGCGGCAATTATATTCCGGGACTGGATCTATAAAAACGAAACAAAACAATTTTATTCAAATCTTTTTATTAAATTATTCAAAATACTCTCCTCCTGCTTCAATACACTTTTTACATTGATTCAATAGTGATTCAAATGCCTGCTCAAACTCAATTTTCGGTATTGCCTCTAATATGCGCGTAGACTCTCTTTGGATGGTTTCAATATCATTAAAAATGCGTCCTTTCAACTTCATTTTCATTTTTGGAAATAAAGAGAAGTCACATGGTGCTAAATCAGGGGAATATGGCGAATGATTCAACACACAGACTTGATTTCGTGCCAAAAATTGACGAACATACAATGACGTGTGACTCGGTGCATTATCGTGTAACAAACACCAGTCATCAGAATTGCGATATTCTGGTCGAATTCGACGAATTCTTCCCATTAATCGTTGTAAAACTCCCAAGTAGAAAGCAGCAGTAACTGTTTGACCCTGTGGGACGAACTCACGGTG